TTTTTTTTTTTTAAATATTTATTTATTTATTTAGTATACAATATTCTGTCTGCTGATATGCCTGCAGGCCAGAAGAGGGCGCCAGACCTCATTACAGATGGTTGTGAGCCACCATGTGGTTGCTGGGAATTGAACTCAGGACCTTTGGAAGAGCAGGCAATGCTCTTAACCACTGAGCCATCTCTCCAGCCCTCGAAGAGGATTCTTATGGAGTTTGATAGCCATTTGGGCAAGAAACTGCTCTTGCCTAGACTGTGGCATAAACTGGACACAAAGAACCCACAGAGAGAGGACTGCTGAACTTGCCTAAAGGTGAGCTGATCTTTCAGGGTTTCTGATTCATGAAATAGTCTGCGAGACATTCTGCAGGACACAGCAGATAGTGACTGAACTGACTTTGAAATTTCCTGCTTCATGGAAATGTCTGCTGGAAACTATGGGCCTGAAGGTTAAAGATGAATGCCCCAGCAGTACAAAAGAACTTTGGGTGACTGTCCAGGCAGCAAGATGTCTCTGTCACTTCTAGAGTTTTGGAAGTTTCTTACTTCTTGTTTACTTAGGTAATATTATATCTTTCTGGAGTCTTTGATGGAGTTGAAGAATGGTTAGTTATAGTTATAGTTTTTCTTTGTTATGGTAAAAGATAAAATAGATATAAATATTGTAACTGTAATTATTGCTTCATAACTGTTGTATGTAATTTTGCTATGTTAAAGCCTTCCTTTTTGTTTAAACAGAAAAAGGGGAAATGATGGAGGACGGTCATTGGTTAAGTAATAAAGAAGCTGCTTGGCCTCATAGGTTAAAATATAGGTGGGAGGAGTAAACAGAACAGAATGCTAGGAGGAAGAGGAAGTGAGCTCAGAGGCCATGCTCCCCTCTCCCAGGCAGACGCGATCGATGAAGCTCCGACCCAGGATGGACACAGGCTAGAATCTTCCCGGTAAGCGCACCTAGGGGTGCTACACACATTATTAGAAATAGGATAGTCCAGGTGCGAGAGTTAGCTGAGAAGAGGCTAGATATAATGGGCTAAGCAGTGTTTAAAAGAATACAGTGTCCGTGTAATTATTTCGGGGCATAAGCTAGCAGGCGGCCTGGGGTGCTGGGGACGCAGCCCCGCCACTCCTTTTACAACAATGCCCAATTGTATTTTTATATTTAAAACAAGTGTTGGGGGTGGAGAGAGCTTGGAGATTAAGAGCACTTGTTCTTGCAAAGGACCTGAGTTCTGTTCCTATCCAGCACACACATGGCCACTCCTACCCATCTGAAACTCCAGTTCCAGGGGGTCCAACACCCTCTTCTGGCCTCTGTGGGTACCAGGTACACTTATGGTGCGCAGATATAGATGCAGGCAAAACGACTCTACACATAAAATAAAAATAAATAAATCTAAAAAAAAAATCAAAATGTGACTGAACAAGAAGACTGTTCTCTTAAACCTCGTGCAGCCCAAGAAAGGAATCAGAAATGGTGCATGAACATGCACTTTTACAAACAGAACAGTTGTGGGGGTCTTTTCTGGGGGGTACAAAGTTTGCTCAGAGAAAGCCACCGAGTAATCGCTCTTATATTTCTGGTGTGAGCCTAGCCTTTAAGGGATGAGCCATCATCCCCCAGGTCCAGCAGTCACTCTGGAGCCTAGCTGTGAGCCCCTCTCCTGCCTCATCCCCTCAGAAGCTGACATTCCTATCCTTCCTCCATCCCTCCTCATTATTGCTTTATGGTGATCTTACCACATCCAGTTCAGTTTTCTCCAGGACATCCACCAGTACCTCAATCTTGGTCTTGCTGTCGAAGAGAAAGTCGTCATCCACCCAGAGGACATATTTAGTGGTCACCTGTGAGATGGCCAGGTTCCTACCAGCAAACCAGCCCTGTAGGCAGCATGGGTTTGGATCAGCAATTGTCACCTGGGGGTGGGACTTCCTGAATTCCCACCAGCCAGGCTGCCTCCCACCATGGGGGAAGTTGGAATCTGTGGAGATTCATAGTTCAGACAAGGCTGACACCTGCTGTGTCAGAGGGGTGCCTCGGAGAAAGAGCAAAAGAGCCGAAAGAGCCGGGACAGTGACTTCCTGGATTCAGAGACTGAGACAGAGTGGGGGGTCCCTCTTTGGTCCAGAGGCCTCTGGGAAAATAGACTGGAGCCCTTTTCACCTCAGTTCCTTTCTATCTCCTGCAAGATGGTATGGGGAGCATCTGCTATCAGTGGTATCCTTCCCTTTTCTATCCTTGGGGGAAGATGGGAGGGAAAAGGGGAGGAGAGTAAGCAGGCAAGGTGAGGGGGAGAGCCTAGCTTGAGCTCAGTCACAGGGAACAAAAGTCTGCTGTTACCCCTCAACACCACAATCAGATGTCCGCTCCCGTAAGTCACTCATAAGAACGCTGTCCATTCCACACCAGATCGGCATGAAGATGGAATAGACTAACAGTTCATTGATGTGGAAAATGAGATTGCTCCAGTTTCCCTCTGCACCTGAACAGCAGAAGCCCAGACGCCTCTCACCACAGGACTCTGCTCCCTAGAGAAGACCATGGAAGCAGCTGAATCTGGGGTCCTCCTGTTCTGGGAGCTAGGTCCACCCAGTGTGAGGGGAACATACCTTCCCGAATGGCATGGAGTAATACTCCACGTAGTCATCCTGAATCTTCAGGGGCTCCTTGCTGTCATCAGCCACAATCACAGTTAAGTCTGGGTAATATTTTCGGATACTCTGCAGCAGGGTCTTAAGCTTGTGGGGACGGAGGAAAGTCTTGGTGGCAATGGTCACCAGGTTCCTGAGCTTCCTCTCTGGAGAAAAATGTAAAAGTGGATGCTAGAACCTGATGCTGGATTTGCTCTGTTCAGATGGATTTTGTTTTGTTTTGTTTTCTGCTGGTTCAGGGATTGAACCCAGGGTCTCACGCATGCTAAGCAAGCATTCAACTACTGAGCTACCCTCCAGTCATCTGATGGCTTCTTTTCTCCTCCAACTGGTCAGAGTTGGGGACCTCAGGCATTCTGTACACAGGGCACGATTAATCAGAATTTGTCAGCTGCACTGGGAAATAAAGATGTTATAATATATAATGGCCTTCTTTCTTTAGACCACCAGCTCCCAAATAATGACACAGAGACTTTTTATTAATTATGAAAGCTTGGCCTTAGCTTAGGCTTGTTCCCAACTAGCTAGTATAACTTAAATTAACCTGTTTCTTTACACCTACATTCTGCCACATGGCTTGTTACGTCTCCTCAAGCCTGTACATCCAACTTCCCCTGCAAACAGCTGGCGAATCTCCCGCCACTCAGATTCTTCCACCAAGTTCCTTTCCCTAGAAGTCCTGCCTATCCCCTCCTGCCTAGCTGTCTGCCATTCAACTCTTTATCAAACCAATCAGAAGGTGTCTATGCAGGTGAGGTAAAACAGCCAGGCGTGGTGGCACACACCTTTAATTCCAGCACTTGAAGGCAGAGACAGGCAGATTTCTGTGAGTTCAAGGCCAGTCTGATCCACAGAGCTAGTGAGTTCCAGGACAGGCTCCAAAGCTACAGAGATACTAATCACTAGGAATTCTGACTCACACCTGCAATCCCAGGATTCAGAGGCAGAAATTGGAGGAAGGCGAGGTCCACACCAGCCTTGACTACGTAGCAATACCCAATCTCAAAAAACAAAGAGCAAAATCACTAAAAGAATGAATGTTTAAAGATTCAACATTTAAAAAAAAATCACTCAGGGCTGGAATGATGGTTTGGTGGACAAAGCACCTGTTGTACAAGCATGAGTTTGTGAGTTCAAATCCCCAGAGTCCATGTAAAGTTAGGCTCAATAGCTGTATCTGTAATTCCAGTGCTCCTGAGGTGAGATGGGAGGCGGAGACAGGAGACTCTGGAAGGTTGAGGGCCAGGCACGTTGGTATATGCAGTAGCAAACCAAAAAAGAGACCCTACCTCAAATAAGGTGAAAGGCAAGGACAACACCAGAGATTGTCCTCTGAACTTCATATTCCCACTCGGGCATGAGTGCACTGCATATCTCTCTCTCTCTCTCTCTCTCTCTCTCNTCTCTCTCTCTCTCTCTCTCTCTCTCTCTCTCACACACACACACACACACACAATCTATAATTGCCTGTCATCTCACCACTAACAAGGTTGAGTCCAGAGGATGGTCAGGCGAGCTTGGAACACGGAAGGAAGGGGTGAAATTATGACTCCGTTGGTGGAGAGCCTGCCTAACACACCCAAAGTTCTGGGTCTGATCCCTCGTAAGTGAGCGTGGTGGCGCAGGCACAAGATTCCAGCCCTTGGGGAAACGAGGCAGGGTGCCCAGAAGTTCAGTAATATTCTCATTCTCAACTATATCCATAGTTTGAGATCACCCTGGGCCACATAAGACCTTGTCTCATAAAAGGGCTGAGCTCTGAAGAGCACACACTGTTCTTGTAAAGGACCAGACTTTGGTTCCCAGCATCCACGTCAGGTGGATCAGAACCACCTACAACTCCAGCTCTAAGGCGATTCAACCTCTGGCCTTTGTGGGCACCATACACAAGAGCACGTGTGTACACACACAATTAAAAATAATAAAACATGAATCATAAAGAAAAAGTGATTCCTCTGCTTTAGGTACTTTTCTATTGCTGTGAAGAGACACCATGACCAGGGCAGCTTACACATGAATCATTTAGCTGAGGGCTTGCAGTTTCAGAAGGTGAGCCCATGACTGCGGTGGCTTGAATGTAATGGCCCCCATAAGCTTATAAGGAGTGGCACTATTGAGAGGTGTGGCTTTGCTGGAGAAAGTGTGTTGCTGTGGGGTGGGCTTTGAGATCTCAGGTATGCTCAAGCCACGCCTAGTATCTCAGTTCACTTCCTGTTGCCTACACAAGATGTATAACTCTCAGCTGCCTCTCCAGCACCATGTCTGCCTGTGTGCCACCATGTCCCACCATGAGGATAATGGACTGAACCTCTGAACTGTAAGACAGCCAATTAAATGTTTTCCTTTATAAGAGCTGCTGTGGTCATGGTGTCTCTACACAGCAATAGAAACCCTAAGACAATGACCGTAATAACCGAGAGCAAGACAGCAGGCAGGCAGGCGTGGCACTTTAGAGTCGCCTTCCTAAACAGTCCCACCAACTGGGGACCAAGCATTCAAATACATGACTCTATGGGAGCCCTTGTCATTCCAAGCACCACACCCTCTGAACTTCACCCAGTCTGATGCAATCCTAGATCCCCAATGACGACAAGAGCCTTACCTGGTCCAGGGTCATACAACTTGGGTACAATCGGTTGGTTGATGGTCACTGGAAACCTGGCCACTGAGGACTTGGACTCGAAACTCACTGGAAGGAAAAGAGAGGTAAGAACCTAGGCAGTGTGAAATCTGACAAGATTCTGCTGCTCTGAGGAAGCCAAGGAGGCCAGTAGCTGCAGGGGAGTCCTGGTTGGGAGGAGACTGAGGACCCACGCAGCAGGCTGGGCATCTTGGCTCCTGCCTATGCGTTCCTGGGGTAGCCTGCTGTAAGGACATGCTGCTGGGACAGGCTAGAGAGTCAAGGATCTGGATTAAGTTTGACTCTGCCATGGCCTATCTGAAATAAGTCCTTCCTCAGCTTCTCCAGTGACAAAAAAGGACAGTTATACCCACTGCACCGAAAGGCACAGAGGCACTTTCTGAAGGGAAATGCTTTAAAATCCGCAGGTGGAGAGAACGCGCCCTGCGGCTATGGGGAGTAACCTGGGACATCTAATCCTCCTGATCCTACCTCCCAAGTGCTGGGGTTTTAGGCATGGCACCCCCATGCCTGATTTTATATGGTACTGGGGATCGAACCCAGGGCTCTGTGCGTGCTGGGGAGGTCCTCTACCAGCTAAGGGAAACTGTTACTTGTTCATATTGCGTCTCCCCCTGCTACTGTGCTATGTCCGCTACTAAAAAACTAAAAACTTTTAACTGACACAAATAGAAACAGAGGTTGGCTTGCGGGTGGCAAGATTGGTTCTCTCAGGAGTTCTGTAATGGAAGGATGTGGAGAGGGATGGGAAACTGGGCACATTCTCTCTTTCCATGAGTGCTCAGGACAAGATATCCATGCACAGGCTGGTTGGGCTGGTGCCTCCTCGACAGAAGCTGAGGCAGCTTCAGAAGTTGCAGAGAGGTCACCAAAATGGGGCTGGAGAGATGGCTCAGAAGAGCACTGGCTGCTCTTCCAGAAGTCCTGAGTTCAATTCCCAGCAACCATCTATGATGAGCTCTGCTGCCCTCTTCTGGTGTGCAAGCATGCATGCAGGCAAATGTTGTATAAATCATATAAGTAAATAAGTAAACAAATGCTCAGCAGGTAAAGTTGCTTGTGCCAAATCTGGTGATCTGGGCTTGCTCCCTAGGACTCTGGAAGGAGAGACCCAGATCCTACAAGGTGTCCTCTGACTTTCTCTGACTTCCATATGACCTCTATGGTGTGTCCATGCCCCCAATAAACAACTGAATGGAATTTAAATAAATAAATATAAAAGCTGCAGAAAATGACTAAGAGAACTAGATAAGGCTAGCCCGGCATAGGGATGCCTGTCATCCTGGCATTGTGCAGGCTGAGGTAGAGGAATTGATTATTTGAGACTAGCCCAGGATACGGAACAAGATCCTGCATCATAGACAGATAAAATCAAAAATTAAGCTTAGTGTGGTGGTACACACAGGGAAAGACAGTCTGGAGTTCAAGACCAACCAGCTACAACCACATAAGAGAGTTTGGGATATCCTGGGCTACCTGAGAGCCTGTCTCAAGAAACAGCAGGACTAGGGCTGTAACTCAGTTGGTAGAGAACTTGTGTACCACACAGGTGGTCCTGGCTTCGACCCCCAGCATCACATAAACCTTATTTGGAGGTACATGCCTATCATCCCAGCATGCAGATGTTCAGAGTCTGATGTTAGCCTGAGATCTCTGAGACCATGTGTCAAGCAAAGCAAAATATAGAAAGAATCGGATGGTGCTAAGGTTTGGTTCACAGCATAGGAATAGGCCACTGTGGTGACACTGTGGGGAGTTGGGGTCTGATGGGAAGTCCCTGTGGCCTTTAAGGTAACGACAGGGCCTACTTCCCATCGCTTCTATTCCTGTTGGCTTCTTAGCTGTGAGCCGAGAGGCTCTTCTCTATCATACAACCCTGCCATACTACGCTGCCTCACCCCTGGCCAAAGGGCTCGCCAGGGACGGAAGCCTCCAAACCTGGGGCCAGGGGAACCCTTTCCTCCTCTGTGTTACCTTAGGTATCAGCTACGGTGACAGGAGGCTGATCTGGCATCTGCCCTGTGCGAGATGAGCAGTGTCAGGGACGACTCTTAAGTCCCCTCCATGGGGTCAGTGGCAACAGGGGGCACTACTGGGTGCTGTAAGTAGGAAGGGGAGTGTCTAGGCTTGGAATGTGGTGCGCAGGGAGAATATCTGCAGTCGGAAGACTGGCTCTCACCCATGTCCACCTTGCGGAGCTGGTACACCGTGCTGGTGTACGTCACATGCTGAAGGATGAATTTCAGGAGTGTCCGGTCACCGGTGGAAATGGTCAGCTGCTTCTGGCCTCTACCCTGCACCACACTGTTTGGGACGTCAGCAAGGGTGTTTAGTGTCCCCAGAGAAGCTCTCAGGGTGACCTGGGGGTGGCATTAAGAGTACTCATATTATTGTGCAGCTGTCGGTTACCTCTATCCATCTCTTCGTCCTGTCCAGTGAAACTTTATACCCAACAGACTGTAACTCCTTAGTCTCAACCCTGAAGTGCCATGGACGGAGAAAAAATCCATTCGCAGGAAAGACAAGTACCCAGGACGGCCAGCAGGGGGCAGAGCACCCAGAGTGGAGAAACCCATGGGGGAATAGCACAGAACACGGCTGGCTGGACCGGAGTAGACGCTTCAGCTGAGGCCCTCTCCCTCACCCCTAACACCTAAAGATTCATGGATTTAAAGGACTCATTCCTGCAAACACCTTTATCTTTGGGTTTAGGGAACACTGCTCTTCAAGAGTCTTCTTCTAGGTCATTTCTTCCTCCTCCTCCTCCTCCCTCTGAGGTCTCAATATGCTGCCCGGTAGCTCTAAAGATGGCTCTGCCTCCTGCCACTACCTCCCTAGCAGCTGGAGCTACAGACGGGGCCACTTTGCCTTGCTCCCTGCTGCTGTTACTGATTTATGTTTGTCAGTCACTCTTCCTTCCCCTCCGTCTGACATCCCATAGTTTTCCAGGACTTGGTTCTGAGTCCTTTTCTCTTATTGCCGCACAGTTCCCTGCCCGAGGATTTTATCCATCATCAAACAGAAACCATCAATTTTCAAGTGGCTTCAAAACGTTCATCTCAGCACAGTTTGGTGGCATGGGTCTTCAGTCCCAGGCTCTGATGTCTGTGAGAAAATTCCAGGCCAGTCAGAGTGAGGTAAAAAAAAAAAAGGGGGGGGGGGGACAAAACGTGTGTGCCTGACATCCTGCTGCCTTCTCCATTTGCCCTGTGTGGTGGTTTGAATAGGACCGGCTCCCAAAGGCACATATGTTTGAACACTTGGTCCTCAGTTGGAACTGTTTGGATCAGATTAGGAGGTATGCCACAGAGGCTGGCTTTGAGACTTCAAATGTCTCCTTCATCCCCAGTGTGCTCTCTGCCTCTTGCCTTCAGTCTGAGATGCGGCTCTCAGCTGTTCCTGCCACCAAGTTTTCTCCTCCATCGTGGACTCTAACTCTCTGGAGCCGTAATCCCAATTAAAAGCTTTTATAGCCGGGCAGTGGTGGTGCACACCTTAAATCCCAGGGCTTGGGAGGCAGAGGCAGGCAGCTCTCTGATTTTGAGGCCAGCCTGGTCTACGGAAAGAGTTCCAGGATAGTCAGAGATACACAGAGAAACCCTGTCTCAAAACAAACAAACAAAAAGCTTCTGTAAGTTGCTTTGGTCATGGTGTTTTATAACAGCAACAGAAAAGAAACTAAGACAGAAATTGGTACCAGGTTCATGGGATATTGCTGTGACAGACCTGACCATATTTTAGGAGCAATGTGGGAGATTTGGGGACATCAGACTAGGAAAACGGTTAAGTGCTATAAGCAGAGTTAAATGGGTCATTCTAGTAGGATCTTGAAAGACAGCAATGCTGGCAGCTTTGTGGACTATGAAGGCCCAGCGCAAGAGGTTTCAGAGCGGAACAACATCAGCAACCGGGTTAGACATCGTCCTTGTGATAATTTGGTAAAATCTGCTTTCTCTTTCATCCTAAGAACTTGCCCAAAGCTAAGTCTATATGTAATGGACTAATTTCTTCTTCAGGGGAAATTTCAAGACAGCCTATTGTTGACTCTGCCATGTGGTTCTTAGTAACCACGCTTAAGCAGGCCTACAGTGAAGATGAGCAAGAGGGGCGAAAAGGAATACAAAGTGTACAGTTTACAGAGAAAAAGAGCAAGGCAGCAAGCAGTGTCCTTCCATGGCTTCTGCTTCCCAAGTTCCTGCTTTCGGTCCCTGCCTTGACTGTGACGATGCACTGTGATGTGGAACCATAAGTTCAAACAAGGCCCTTTCTCCCCAAGATGCTTTTGGTTGTGGTGTTTAGCACAGCAATACAAACCCTAACCAAGACACCCTGCTGGGAAGGCTCGCATGCAGCTCAAACTTAGAATATTAAAAACTAAACCACTGGGCTGGAGAGATGGGTCAGCTGTACAATCATGGGGACCAGAATATGGGGTCCAGCGCCCATATAACAAGACGGGCATTCTGCGAAAGCCTGTAACTCCAGCTCTGAGAGATCAGACAGCTTTTCTGGCCTCTGTGCCTATGTGCACATGTGCATGCACACTCACACACAAAATATTAGTTAGGTTCAATTCTCAGCACAAACCAAACAAGACCTGGCTAAATTGTTCCGTTACTAATAGAAACTGCTGCTGCAATCCCATCGCCCCTCTCACCCGGGTGTAGAAGGCACTAGCTTCCAATCCAGCTCTCAGGTGCCCAAAGTGTGGCTTGTTTGTTTGTTTGTTTGTTTGTTTTCGAGACGGGTTTCTCTGTGTAGCCTTGGCTATCCTAGAACTCCGAGTGCTGGGATTAAAGGTGTGGGCTAACACACGCACATACACACACACACACACACACGCACACGCACACGCACACACGCACGCATGTGCACGTTAAGGCCACTCCTGCTGTGCTACACTCCTTAGGCCTGCAGCCCGCCTGGGAGCAAGTCCTGCCCATTAGCTCCACCTGAAGATAAAGGGGGCCAGCAGGCTTCTCTCCGTGCCCACAACTCCTGTCTCCGATTGCCTGCAATAGCCAGGTATCTTTGTAGGAAGCCCACTGGGTTATGTCACGCCTACTGAAAACGCCAGCCAATCAACAGATAATTCTCTGAGAAGCAAGTCAGTAGGCCACGAAGCTAAGAAGCAGGAAGCCACGGCCACACCATAACCAGGCAAGAAGGGCGTAATGGGAGTGGCTAGGGGCGTGGCTCAGGGGCGGAGCATTTGCCTTGCTCGTGTAAGGGCCCAGCTTCCATCCCTAGTGCACTCGTGAAGAATCAATCAGTGATGAGAAAAATGACAGGGATAGGATGGGAGGGCATGTGCGGGGGGGGGGGGACAGAGGAGGCCTCTGGGGACACAGAGAGCAAGCAGTTCATTCACACACACACACACACACACACACACACACACCCTCCATTCAGTCTGTGGGGTTGGAGGATGCAGATCTCACGGCTGAGCTGAGAAGGCACAGTGGGTAAGAATACTCCTTACATAAGTGTCAGAACCTGAATTCTGAGTGCCCAGTTTCCACATAAAAAAGTCAGGCAACCCCAGTAACAGAAGATGGGTAACGAGACAGGAGGGTCGTGGGGACGTGCTGGCTGTCAGCCTAGCGAAAAAACAGTGAGCGCCCCAGAGTCTCAAGGGAATAGGGTGGACAGCCCTAGTGGAGGACAATGTGCTTCTCTGGCCTCCATGCGTTTCCCTGTGTATACGTATGTCTGCACACACACTCCAAGCCTCATTTCCCAGGGTCCGTTTGCAGGTTCTGCACCTGCATCTGTCACCCATCAGACATCCCGTCCTAAGACCTCAACCCACAGCTACACTGAGGGGAGGGAAGCAGGGCACCCCGCGCTTTTGTTGCCAGAGGTCACACAGGCAGCAGCTGGGAATACGGCAGAGGCTTCCTTCTCCTAAAGCAAAATCAAGCACAGTGGTGCTTCTGAGCTTTGTGTAGCTTTGGAAGCCCTCCCCGCAGCCACTCCAGGGACTGCAACGCCCCTGCGCAATGCCCCCATGTCCCGCTTTGTATTTGTGTGGATACACAACAGGGGCTGGCTGAAGGCTGAGATGGGTCATCGTTGTGAGACAGTGCCAAAATTGCTGGGATGGGAATCTTACCTCATAGACCGGGGCTTCTGGCCCTTCATACTGGAGGCCTAAAAGACACAGGAGAGACAAGAAAAAAAAAAAAAATCTGTGAGGATACTGACAGAAGGCACTGACACTCCCTCGTACGCCTCTCTACCTCCGACCCCGGCATATCTACAGAGCCCACCTAGTCATTTCTATCCGACAGTTGGCCTACACAGTTCCCATTCCCAGGGCTATGCAATGGCTACATGGTCCCAAACCCACATGGGTCTAAGGCTTCCAGTGCCCGTCCTCAGCTTTGGGTTCTGTGAACTTTCAAACAGCCCCTTCCAAATGGCCCTGCTAGCGAAGGGGAAGCAACAATGGAGACAATGAATGAGCCTTGGGTGGATCTGGGAATAGTCGTTCTCTCAGAGACAGAAGCACAACTTGCCAGGAAGTGGGAGGGAAGATGTGATAGCTAAAGTTCATTACCAACCTGACAGAATCTCGAATTGCGTGGGAGAAGGGCATCTGGGCATGTGTGTGAGGTCAGGAGCAGACCTGCCCACTGTGGGCGGCACCATTCCCTAGGCAGGGGATTATGGATTGTGGGAATGGATAAACCCAACACTAACATGCATGCCTCTGATGCCCTCTTCTACTGATGACTAGCTGCTTCAAGCTCCTGATGCCTTGATTTCCCCACCGTGACAGTCTGTAACCTGGAACTATTATGTAAGATAAACCTTTCCCCACTGACTTGCTATTGTCGGAGTGTTTTATCAAAGCAACAGGGAAATAAACTAAGACAAGGGAGTTAGTGGTAAATGGGTATAAGATTTCAGTGTGTGTAGAGTATGGATTGCAGGTAGGGTGAGAAGGAAGTATGTCTGCAGAATTAACAAAAAATTTACTTTGACAGTATTTGAATAAACAGTATGTAGAGATTTATGAATTAAACACATTGGTGATTAATTTGGAGTCACTAACAATGTGTTGATGTCCCATTAGGGAAAGAAATAAAAACACTGCCTCTTGGAGTCATTTAATCAAGAGCGAGTCCAGGTTGGACGTCTCTGTTTCATGCTCCCTGTGTCCTCTTCCATTCTCTGTCCGTCCCTGTGCGTGCGTCTGTCCCTGTGTCTGTCTCTGTCCCTAACAGAAGGCTTCACTCTGCCATTATTGAACAGCACAGAGGGAATCACATGGGGAAAGAATGACAGACACTTTACAGACATCTTTAACAGAGTTTTGTAAGGGATCGAGTCACTGGCTCCAGCTGATGCCAACTGACCCGGACAACAAGCCGCACTACAAACATCATTGTTGACCAACCAAAAGCCATAGATGGGAATTCGCTTTAGAAGATTGCTTCCAATCTGTAGGATGCTTTCAGCAAATGATACATACATGCGTGAGGAGGCGTCGGCAGTCAATGACTAGAGAAGGGGAGAGTTTCCTCAGTGGTGTAGCTGCTAGTGAGCTGCTGGCCCCACACTCATGCAAGCAAGCCTAATAAAACTCATTGGGTCATATGTATTTATTTTTAATTTTTTAATTAGATTTTTCTTATTTTATATGTGTAAGTGTATTTTTTTTTTTTTTTTTTG